TTTTTTTTGAGACAGAGTCTCACTCTGTCACCCAGGCTGGAGTACAGTGGCACAATTCGGCTTACTTCAACCTTCGCCTCCCGGGTTCAACAGATTCTCTTGCTTGAGCCTCCCAAGTAGCTGGGATTACCGGTGCGCACCACCAGTCCCAGCTAATTTTTGTATTTTTAGTAGAGGTGGGGTTTCTCCATGTTGGCCTGGCTGGTCTCAAACTCCTGACCTCTGGTGATCCACTTGCCTTGGCCTTCCAAAGTGCTGGGATTAAGGCGTGAGCCACCATGCCTGGCCCAGTCTGTATTAAAGTCTTGATTGTATTTTTCATTGAATTCATTGAATTCTTCAGTTTCAGATTTTCTGTTTGGCTATTTTTTATATCTTTGTTAAATTTCTCATTCAAATTATGAATTGCTTTCTTGATTTCATTGAATTGTGTAATTGTATGCTCTTGAATTCCACTGAGCTTCCTTAAGATTATTATTTTAAATTCCTTTTCTGGAACTTTGTATACTTTCTCATGATTGATGTCTGTTCCTGGAAATTATTGTGTTCTTTTAGAGATGTTGTGCTCCTTGCTTTTTCATGTTTCATGTGTTTCTACATTTCTTTCTTTTCTTTCCTTCCTTCTTTTCTTTCTTTCTTTTTTTTTAAGACAGAGTCTTCCTCTTTCACCCAGGCTAGAGTGCAATGGCGAGATCTCAGCTCATGGCAACCTCTGCCTTCCGAGTTCAAGCAGTTCTCCTGCCACACCCACCCAAGTAGCTGAGATTACAGGCATGTACTACTATACCAGGGTAATTTTTGTATTTTTAGTAGAGACAAGGCTTCACCATGTTAGCCAGGCTGAATGAACTCAAGTGATCTGCCCACCTCAGCCTCCCAAAGTGCTGGGATTACAGGTGTGAGCCACTGCACCCAGCTCTGCATTGATTTCTAAATGCATGATGAAACAATCACCTCTTCCAATTTCATGGAGTAGGTTCTGTAGGGAAAGGTTTATTTATATGGGTCTTGGGGTGTTGCTTCAATGAAATGTGTTGGCTTTCGTTCTAGGTGGACACAGTAGTGTATTCTCTATGTAGTTTCTTCAGCTATAATATATGCTAGTGACAGGCCAGGTGAGGTGGCTCATGCCTGTAATCCCAGCACTTTGGGAATTTGAGGTTAGGTGTTTGAGATCAGCCTGGCCAAGATGGTAAAATTCCATCTCTACTGAAAATACAAAAATTAGCCAGGTGCAGTGACGGGCACTTGTAATCTCAGCAACTCAGGAGGCTGAGGCAAGAGAATTGCTTGAACCCAGGAGGTGGAGGTTGCAGTGAGCCGAGATCACACCACTGCACTCTAGCCTGGGTGACAGAACAAGACTCTCAAAAAAAAAAAAAAAAATGCTAATGACATTTGTGAATGTTTCAGTGGCCTAGGCTGAGAGGTGGTAGTGGTGGTCATGTGGCTTTTGCACAGGGCTGTTTCTCAAGTCACAGGCTCCTTTGTGCACATGGTGGGTCAGCCAACTTGGGCTCTGGATCACTGGGGTTGGGGTTATGGGGCTGTTAACTCTAAATGGGGACACGAATGCATTGTTGCCTGGCCAGCCTAGAGGGTGCCTGCCAGTGGTGGCCTGTGGCACTGTTTCTCAGACCCTGGACACAGAAGCACAGCTGCTTGGCTGTCCTGGGAGCATGTCTTCTAGGCAAAGCCTGTGGGCTATTACTTAGGCCTGCGACAAAAGCACAGAGCTGCTTGGCTGGCCCAGAGGTATGTGTCCTGGAGCAGTAAAATAAAAATACATTGGATATGTTCAGTTAAATAAATATGTTTATGTAATTAATTTCACCTCTTAAAAAAGTTTTTAAGATATAGCAACTAAAAGTTAAAATTACATATGTCACTTACATTGTATTTCTCTCTCTATATAGTGGTATAGATGTATATGAATTATTTTAAATTCACTGAAGAGTCATCTGTGTTTTAGCATATGGTCAACTTTCCTGAATAACGCATGTGTGCTAGAAAAGAATGTATATTCTATTTGTTGCATGCAAAGTTGCATGTAGATCTGTTATCTTGAGATTCATAATCCTGTTATTGAAACTTCTTTTTTTTTTTTTGAGACGGAGTTTTACTCTTGTTACCCAGGCTGGAGTGCAATGGTGCGATCTCTGCTCACCACAACCTCCGCCTCCTGGGTTCAGGCAATTCTCCTGCCTCAGCTTCCTGAGTAGCTGGCATTACAGGCACACGCCACCATGCCCAGCTGATTTTTTGTATTTTTATTTTTGTTTTTATTGATTTTATTTTATTTATTTATTTATTTTTGGGGGACAGAGTTTTGCTCTTGTTACCCAGGCTGGAGTGCAATGGCGCGATCTCGGCTCACCGCAACCTCCACCTCCTGGGTACAGGCAATTCTCCTGCCTCAGCCTCCTGAGTTGCTGGGATTACAGGCACGCGCCACCAT